TTTTTTTTTTTTAAGGAATCTGAGAGTAGCTCCCTTAGTTAGGAAAGGTTGCTCACCAGATTTTTATTGTTTGACTTCCTCATACAGAACCCTGCACCTTTAGAAACAGCAAGTTTCCAAGCTACAGGGACACCTACCATAACAGTCTCTTAAATAAGTAAATAAACAGCATATATATGTTTTGTTTAAAAAACTTTAAAGCAAAAGTTATACATATAGCGTCCTTTCGACATGAAATACCCACGGGAGATTCAGAGATTCAGGGCAGGTGCTCAGTCTGCAGTTCAGGTTCCGGTGGCATCTTTGCAGCACTCTCCTTGGGAAAAAGCAAAGCAAAAAGAACAGAGCGCTGGTCGGGCCTCACGGTGGGTCCCTGCCATAGTGGCCGGAGGGTGCCAGTGGAGCCGGCTGGCCACTGGGCGGACATGACACCCCTCTCACAGGCACCTCATCCAGAGTCCCTGGCCACCTGGCTTCCAACTCTCTGGACTTGTTTGGTGGGTCTCTCCTCTTCCCTCCCTCCTTCATGTTGTCTGTGTCTTTTTGTACACTGGATTCTGTTTCTGAGCCTGCTGTGTGGGCAGGTTAGATGTCGCACTCGCTGTCACTTGACGTGATGGAGATGGCTGAAGTGGCTGCCTTGCTGGATAGGCTGGCGGCTGGGCAGGCTGTGGTCCCCAGCACCTCGGTAGTGCCCTCTTCCTCAGCTCTTAGCACCCGCCCCGAGCCCTGAGACAGGACTTGCTGCTGGAGTCTACAGGGAAGGAATGGAACACACTTAATATACTTCCATTGCCCCCTGTCCATGCCCCTGAAGCCCTGTGGCCAACGGCTCTCCCTCAGAACCCGGGGCATTAAAGCGAGTAAGATGAGGCAACAGGGGTTGGGCAGGGGTCCTCAGCCGCCTCTGCGGAGCCCCGCAGTTGCCCTACCCTTCCTCAGAGTCCTTTCCACTCCCAGTCTCCCCCGGCTGTGAATGCTGGGCTCACAGGGTCATTCCCCGTCGTTGGCCACCTTTGAGAGATTTACAATACTATCAGGATAAATGAAGTGTGGGTGATGAGGGCGGAGTAGGCTCTGGGGCAGGGGACCCCCTTCCCAGAGAACCCCCTTCCCAGAGTGTGTCTGTGTCTCCAAGGCCTGGTCGGCCCAAAGCTAAGGGCCAAAAGGGCTGCCTGGGAGTTGCGGGGAGCATCTGGGCCTGGGGGAAGAGGCGGTGTTTTTGGCCAAAATGCTCCACTGGTTGAGAGTCTTACGCTGGAAAGTAAAAAAGCCATAGCCCACTCATTTGCTGTTTTGAGACTGGGCTGCCCACACATGGGAAGAGAAGAGCTCCACTTCCCACTTCCTAGAAATAGAAGTTCATGGACAACTGTTTTCATAGCATCAGAGCCGGACGCATTTGGGTTTTAAAAAGGCCCGAACTGCCGCGCTGCTAATAAGCCAGCCTTCGCTCGATAATAAGAGCCTGGGCCAAGGCTGACAAGAATTAGCTTTGGGCCTTGAGGTCCCTCATTGTTTCTGGGATTTTAATTTCTTTCCCCTTCCCAATGCAGCCTGCATTTGGTGACCGGAACCAACTGCTGGATCGACTCCCCAGGCTCCCAGAATGGAGAGGGTGTAGAACCAAGCGCCCAGAAGGAACCCCTGCCCAGAATCCCAGAACGCGGGGCCTCGAAACCGAAGGCAGACCGCGCTCCCAACTCCGCGGAATCCAAGTCGCAGGGACCGTCGCCCGCCCCCTTCCCGGTGAGTGCAAGGCGGGGAGGCTCCGGGTACTGACCTGTTCTTTGCAGCCGCCGCCCGGTCCCTTTGTCGACGGTTTTTGAACCAGTTGCCCACCTGCGTGGGGGTCAGTCCGGTGGCCTGGGCGAGCTCACGCTTTTTGCTGGGGTTGGGGTACGGGTCCTGCAGGTACCATTCCCGCAGCAGGTGCCGCGTGCGCTCCTTGAAGCAGTGCGTCTTCTGCTCGCCGTCCCAGATGGTGCGCGGCAGGGGGAACTTCTTGCGCACGCGGTACTTGTCCACGGGCCCCAGGGGCCGTCCACGCAGCTTCTCGGCCTCCTGGTAATGCGCCTCGAGCCACAGCGCCTGCAGCTTGGCGTGCGACTCCTTGGTGAACTTGTGGTTTTCCAGGATGTGGTAGAGCTCGCGGTAGTTGCCGCCGTGAAAAGCCACGATGGCTCGCGCTCGCAGCACCGATTCATTCTTGTTGAGGGCCTCGCAGGCCGCCGGGGCCACGGGCAGCGACCAGAGGAAGCGACCCAGGCGCTCCACGTCGCCGCTCTCCTCCAGCGTCTCGCATACCCCCGCCACTTGCTGGGGGCAGAAAT